ACTTTTTTTTTTTTTTTTTTTTGCATATGTTTATGTGTTTATCCAGGACTCCAAGTTGTAACACTGGTGATTTATGTGAGCCTTCTCCTGGTTCTCTATCTGGTTCCCCTCTTCATCTCATCTCCCTGCATCATGGACCGGTCCAAGCTCGGTCCTCGTCCCGCTGTCATTGGCCGTCGTGGAGCTCCAATGGTGAGTTTCATAATCCTGGTTTTCCAGGCTGGAACATCACCCTTATTTGAACCCAGTACCTGTGACATGGTTTGTCTGTGGAATCCAGGGTTCTTTCTGAAGTTTAGCAACAATTAGAAAGCGCAGGAAGGATTGTGTGTCCCTGCTGTAGAGATCAACACTTACACTTTGTCTAAACATTAAGCTGATTGTACAATGAAGCTTAAACTGTTTTTTTTTGCTTCCTCGAAGGAGTGTTAAGATAGTAACTCCCATTACACACTGCCTCTTTCTCTCAGCTCGCTCCAGAACACACCATTATGTCCTTCAGTAAAGCGCTGCAACAGAAAGTCACTGCCCTGGAAGCAGATGTTACCATCAGGTATCCATTTTGTTGTTGTTGTTTTTTGTTTTTTTTGTGAAACATACCTCTCATACCTTTTTGAATGAATCTTTTATTTTATTTTATTTTATTTTCAGACCTTTTTGAATGTGAGAAAAGAATGGCAGCAGCTCTAATTGGCTCTCAGTAACTTGACTGTAATGTGATTGAATGCTTTTTTCGCTTCAGTCTGGATGGAGTGCCTTTTTTGATGAGGGACCGCACACTCCGCAGGACCACCAATGTGGACAAACTGTTTCCGGCCCGTCAGGACCACGACGCCTCGTTCTTTAACTGGACAGAGATTCGCAGTCTCAGTGCTGGACTTTGGTTCCTCAGGGTATTAAATTTGATTTATTTCTTATTTCTTTGGTCCACCTTCAGTTACTAAAGATTTTGAAGTTGTTTGTCCCTCAGGATGACCCATACTGGACAGTGCAGTACATGTCTGAAAAAGATCGCAACCGCACGGCCAATCAGACGGTGTGTAGCCTCGCGGAGCTGCTGCGTCTGGCTGCTAGAACGAACCGCTCAGTGATTTTCAGCCTGCGGCAGCCTCCACACCAACATCCCCACCACCAGCTCTGGGTCAGTGATGCACTGAAGGCGATTCAGAGATCTAGTATCCTACCAGAACAGGTGAGAGCACAAAACACAGTGAATAAAGTTTGGCAAGCTTTTGAAAATATTTTCTAATAAATTTTGGATTTATCTAACAATATTTCATATTTAAAAATACATTTAAAATAATATTTATTTCTTCATTTTACTTTGCATATGTGTGTGTGTATGTACAGACATATATATATATATATATATATATATATATATATATATATTCGAAATGTTGTCTACCATGTCTTATTCAGTCTAAAATATTTGTCATAAGCTTCTAACGTTAAAAAATAACTTAATCAGCTACCTTACGCTCCAAAAAAAATCTTACTTGTGTGTTGTTTAATGTCGTATTCTGTCTAAACCGTACATTTTGAGATAATATTCTTAATAAAATATCTAACATTAGAAAATGCCTTTATCAGCTACTTTATAAGAACCAATTTCACATAAATTGTGTATTATAATATTTAAGTATTTTATATATAATTTGTAGAAATCATTTCTAATTTTGTATTGTTAAAAGTCTTAAGTATTGAGGGAAATATTCCTAAGAAGCTTCTAAGAGTAGAAAATACTTTGATCAGCTACTTTAAGAGCCAAGTGATTTTTAATAAATTAATTTTTGTCAACTTTTCATTTGATTTTAACACAAAATGTACACTTTACTTTGTTATATGCCAAGTAGTATATCTGTGTACTGAAGTACATAAAACAAACATAATTTTCAAAAGTGCAACAATAACTTTATCCCAAACATCCAGAGTTGAACTTTGCGCTTTATGAATGACAGCCAATGATCTCTCTATAAGAGCAATATCTCTGAAATAATTCTACCATTCTTTTATTGAAGGGGGTCCAGGAGAAAACCAAGAGTGCATTATAGTTTGTTTGTTTTTTGCGGCAGTTAAACCTGCAAATATAACTTACTTAGAAGCCAAATTAGTGCAAATACTAAAGGGTGAATCATCATTAAATAAAAATAAGGTAAGCAGTTTAGGGACTGGGAACTCTAAAATATCCTTAAGAAATACTGCCACTCGGGACCAAAGATTAGAGACATCTGGGCAATCCCAGAAGATATACAGGTGAGTGCCAACTGTATTCAAATTACTGTGAGCTTCATTTTAAAATGTCTGTAAGGGAAAAGGTAAAACTTCTGAACAAACTTGAAATGAATCAACTGGTGCACAGGATTCTTTGATGAAAAAAAAAAAACATTATTCCATACATTCCCCCAGTCCAATTCCATGCCTCTCTCCTTTAGGTCATGATTCCATGATTCAATCACTCCCAGAGCTTCATCACGTTTTGAGATTAATTGTGCATATATTCTAGATAGCAGTCCAGTGCATGACGTTCCTGGATTAATCCACAGACTCAGCGGGTGAACAGGCAGGGGAGAATCCCAGGAAACTCCATGAGCTTTCTTTGCTGGTCTCAGTTGCAAATACAAAAAACAGGAAAATCCGTGAAGAAAGTATCTTACATTGAGGTCCTGGAAAGATTTTAAGCCATTTTCTCCATACAGATCTTGCAGAATGTAAACTCCCCTAGAAGCCCAGCTTGCGTTGAAGTGTGGGCCAGAGTTCTGCAATAGGTTATAATTATACCATATGGGGGAGTGATCACAAAGTTTAGTAGTGGAACCCATATGACTCTGAACTGCTGACCAAACCTGCAGGGAGTTGCCTATAATTGGCCCAAATATTTTATGTGCTGATTTAGGTTTAAGTCCAACAAATAACTTAATCTTCAATTCTATGAGGTTTTACGATTTCTTGTTCTATCTGGCGCCAGGGAAGTACTAGGCTAGGCCTCCAGACGCTTTCATCTGCTGAAGTGTACTCCCAACGGATACGGGGGTTTTTACCATCCCAATAAATTATGAATTATTTAAAAATATTTATTTATTTAATATTATATAGTTTGTTGTCTTATTTTGTCAAATAAGCTTCTAAGATTAGAAAAGAACATAATCAACTACTGTGTGTGTGTGTGTGTGTGTGTGTGTATAGGTGATGTGGACGCCTGACTGGTACAGGAAGAAGGTGCGTGCAGCGGTTCCTCTCCTTCAACAGACATCAGATGAGAAACTTCCTGTGGCTGAGCTGAAAGAAAGAGGGATCAGTACTCTGACCCTGCACTACAGCCAGGCCAGAGCTCAGGATATCAGGTACTCACACACACACACACACACACACATTCAGAACGTCAGCAGACATCTGCCTTTCTCAGTCTGTATTAAATATCATACTGAAAGCATTTTGCAGTGAAATATAACATCATAACCATACAGCTATCGCTATTACGGTACAATCACAGTGTATTAAAATGTTAATATGGAGTTATCATATGGGATACAGTTATTGGAAATATTAAATGGTGTAGATGTAAAATTAAAATATTTGATCCATTTTAATAGATGCATTTAGATCATTTATGGGTCTGTGTAATGTTTTGAGAACACATTTTTATTGTTATTTTTATTACTATGATATATTACAATGCATTTTGATTTATATAGTTATATAATATACATTTTAATGTATAAGGTTTAAATTTTGGTACACGATTTTTGCTCTATACATGCATATAGATGCATACATTTTATCATCAATTTTATTGTTTCATTTATATGAAAGTAGGGATGAGGTTTTGTTCTGCAATACTTCTACTAAGCAAACTTCCTCTCTGTATATGTGTGTGTTGTGAGCAGGCAGTTCTCTGGCAGTAATGTGAGTATAAACGTGTATCCGGTGAACGAGCCGTGGCTCTATTCGCTCATGTGGTGCAGCGGGGTTCAGTCCGTCTCTTCTGATGCCCCACACATCCTGAAGAAAGTGCCTAATCCTGTCTGGATCATGGTACTGATCTCTCACTGGCTGAATCCCAGTTCACACACTCCTATTATGTACGAAAAGTACATACTCTGCTGTCCACATTCAAGTACACAGGCCAGTTTTCCACAGATTTGGAACGCTTGTCATTCATGAAGTCCTACACATTGGCCGAATGTTCATTTAATGGCTAATTTGATTATGCTGTCATCTTCCAAGGAGGATGTAGTGAATCTTGGCTGTTTAACACATTTTACTATCCATTCCACCGAATACTGCAGATTTGAAATTGACATGCTTTATTTATGATGCAAGATCAGTATTGAGAAATAATGTTGCAAATGGTTGCATATACAGTATTTGCATCAGAAAAACCTGTAGTGCAACGGATTGTGGGCAAAAGCTTAGAAATACTTCAAAACTTCCCTGGAAATAGTACCTTTATACTAAATATTTAGACACATTAGACATTATATATACAGTGTATATATACAGTATATATATCTATTAGTGCTGTCAAACGATTAATCGCGATTAATCGCATCCAAAATATACTTTTTTGTTTACATCATATATATGTGTATACTGTGTATATTAGTGGTTAAACGGATCGTAGTTGATCCGTACGGACCAAGCCCCACGGTTCGGCACGCATGTGATCCGCGGATTAATGGCAAAAATTTACCATAATAGAGTATAAGTTTATCATTTGTTCGTATTTACACAAGCAACTCGATTCGTTACTCGCGCGCTGTTCTCTATGCGCGCAGCCGCACACACATGAAGCGCGAATCCTGAATCCTCTGAATGTAACTGAATCCTCTTCTGAATCCTCTGAACAGACACATACACATAAAATTATGACAAAATACCCATCTCGACAATCATTCAGGTAAACGCAGTCAGTTATGTCTCATGTGAATGAAAACAGCCGAGAAAGAAATCGGATGTGATGTGTATCATTATATCGGATCCATGATCCTATCCGTGGGTCAAAAACCGTAATGTGATCCGAACCGTGAGATTTGTGATCCGTTGAACCACTAGTGTATATGTATTATGTACATATAAATACAAACACATGCATGTATATATTTAAGAAAAATATCTTATTTTTATATATTAAATATGTAACTAAAATTAAAATAAATAACAAATACAAATAATACAAATCAAACGACAGTAGTTTATCATTAATCCTAAAAAATAACACTGCCAAACACACATGCTAAAAAACAACAACTTACACATAGTAAGAAATGGTTATAAAAACTGAAACAGAAGCGAAACAAGTAATAGGAAAGAGGAGAAATAAAAAGCGATACTTATCCTTTGCTGGTGATATATATATAAATAATTCATATTTTAATTAATTGTTATACATTCCAATTTTATTTGATTGGGATTCTGCCTGAATTGTTTTTCCCCTTATTAGCTTTTTTTTAATGTATTTATATTGCTATCTAATGGCTAAATGCTGCTTTAACATGTTTTGTAGAGTGCAGATGAATATGGCCTGATATGGATCACTTCAGATTTAATCTCTGTGGCGATTGTCATTGGCATCTTCATATTTCAGAAGTAAGTGCATCTCTTTTAGTATGTCGGTAATGGCTTTAATCTCCAGTACGACTATTTCTGTGCTCGCACACATTTGCACGAAAGCCTGTTTGATTTTCATGCTTGCTATATCTCTGCTGGGCAGCCGGGCGCTTTTCAACTGATGGCTCTGCTCTTTTCTTCTTGGCAATCTCTACTTTCCCTCTGTTTTCTCGCTGTCCTCTGCTCTTTGCATGCACCTGTCCTCTGCTGCTCACTGAAATTGCTCCACTATCACCTGATCAGGTAATGAGGATGAGTATTTTAGGGACAGAATTCTTTGACTGTTTTGGGCTTTATTTCTGTTTCTTCTTCTTTATCTCATCAAATATCTCAAGATGTGATACTCAGTTTCACTATAATGACCAGAACTTTATGGCACTTTCAGACCCTCAGAAGTATGTTTTGGTGACAGTGTGTTGTCATCTTTTTCCTCAGGTGGAAGATGAGTGGCATGCGCAGCTACAACCCGGAGCAGATCATGCTCAGCGCTGTAGTACATCGGCCGAGTCGTGACGTCAACCTCATGAAGGAGAAACTGATCTTCTCAGGTGAGACTGATTTTTTTACTAGTGGGTGCAGGACACTTTAGTTCATTTATGTAAAGTGAGGATGGCAAAATAAAGTAAACTGTGACATATTATAACCAAAAATTCTTCATATAGTGGACTAACAGTAAAATTGATCAAAAAATTTGGGACCAAAAATTATTCAGACACTTTGACCTGACCATGTATTGCTTAAGTGTTATCTGACATTATAAAGACGTTCTGACACAGGTTCTTGTCATATTTTATTACCATTTTCTAAACTATAGCGAATAAACTGTGATAATGTGTGAAATGTTGAAGGTGTCTGAATAAATTTTGGTTTGACTGTATATATATTTATTCGTGCGGTCAAACGATTAATCGCGATTAATCGCATCCAAAATAAAAGTTTTTGTTTACATAATATGTGTGTGTACTGTGTATATTTATTATGTATATATCAAATATTAATATATTATATATTATTATATAAATTATATATTAATATAAATATGTAAATCTTTTGAAAATATGCATGTATGTTTGTCTATTTATATATACATCATAAATATACACAGTACACACATATATTTTGTAAACAAAAACTTTTATTTTGGATGTGATTACTTGCAATTAATTGTTTGACAGCACTAATATATATATATATGTGTGTGTGTGTGTGTGTGTGTGTGTGTTACAAAATGATTTCTAAAATGATATATAAATAAATGTATAACTATAATAAATCTATATATAAATGCATTGTTATGATTCTATATACATGGCTTAAATGTTTTATATAAATGCATGTGTGTAATAAAATAATAAATTAAATATATGCTTATGTGTGTTAAAATATTATATATAAAATATTTTATTAGAGTTTACTGGAGTTATTATTACAGCTTCATTGAAACATTATATGATTGAAACCAACCAGACTATTCAAAAATAATGTTAAGACAGATGACATCTCAGCAGTGATTTAGAAAAAAGTGATCCCAGTTGTGAAAAAGTCTGTATACTTACACAATCAGTGGCCAACAGTCATTTGAGTCCAGTCTAATTACCAGCACCATCATCACTTAATATGCAGTGGGAAGATGTGGCCCAAAAGTGTTCTTGTGGGCTCTGTGAAAGTTCATTCATTTAAATACAGACCCCTGAGCCCCCTAGTGGAGAAATCTGCCCTGTGAAACTCTGGCTAATGAGTTTTGTGCTCGTTTCATTCCTCAGAGATCAACAACGGTGTTGGGAGCACAGATGAGCTCTCCGGGTACACAGGAAACGGACTGGACACGTACTCGCGCGATGACATCATGACACCCGCACGTCACGCAACGAAACTTTAATGACGACTTGAAGCCATTTTATGGAACGAACGTCTCAAGCTCAAAATCATTCATTTAGACCGAGTTGCTTTGAACATTCATCTCCGTTGGGTCTTTAGTTTGAATGGTTTTCGTTGGTTCACAGACACTCTGGGACTGTATTCCACTGATTCATTGTTCTGCTTTGATGCCTTACATAGCCTACCGATGAATTTTTTTCTGTATTTAAAATGGAGCTGAGTCATTGTGCACTGTAAAGTTTAGTCAAATCTTGAAAGCTGGTAATAAAAGTGTCCTATTAATAATATTTTTGAAGAACAGACTGAAGATGAATGGATTTAATGTTAAAGCATGCAGAAATCACAGATTCAGAGATGTTCTGAACCCCAAACTAGCCCTTGTAAAGCTTGACTGTAGGCTGATATAATTATTTATTTTTTTATTTATTGTATTTTTTTAACATACTATTTGCTTGCTGCTGGTGATTCATGTCATTGCACTAGCTTAAGATCACATTTCTTCTACCTTGCTGTATCAATGTCTTTTTAAGTGATTTATTTTGTAATGAAATCACTGAATTGCATTGAGAGTCTTTTTCATGAGGTGTCCAAATGGGTTTTGAAGGTAATTATTACTGGAAATGATTCAGTATATCAGGTGAAGTCCGGTAAATTGAGCCACTTTTGTGCACAAAATGGCCCAGTTCATCCTGTGCTGCAGTAGGCGGGCCTACTCTTTAGTCTCTCAGAATGATACTTATCATTTAAAACATCACAGTTTTTTATTGTATATTATTGGGTAACACATTGGCCATATTCATTCACGAGCAGAACAAATTTGTGTAAATCACTCATGGGTCAATAAGATTTAAAAAAAAAAAAGAAATATATACTTCTATTCAGCAAGGATGCTTTAAATTGATCAAACATGACATTAAAGACATTCATAATGTTATGATTTCTATTTTATTTTATTTATTTTTTTAAATTCCTATTCATCTAAGAATCCTTAAAAAAATGTTTCAGTGCTTCCACAAAAATATAAAGCGGCACAATAAATATTGAATACATTTTAATATATAAAATATATTAAAATAGAAACTAGTTATTTTAAATTGCAGTAATATTTCACAATATTACTGTTTTTACTTTTGATTAAAAGATATGCGACTTTGGTGAACATAAGAGATTTAAAAAAAAAAAAAAAAAATCTTTAAAAAATCTTACTGACCCCAAAACTTTATAAACGGTTGTGTATAATCATTTGCAAGACCGTAGTTCATGCATATTCAAAAATCAAATCAATGAATCAAAGTTGAAGTAATTTTTAACTATTTGAATGTGCATTAACTAATGATTAATAAACCATTGTTATATGTGTTAATGTTGTTATAAAGTGTTACCAATTATTTTTTAAGGCAGACTTTAGCAAAACCTGTGCGATATATTTTGCCAAACTTTTTTCAACAATTTTAAGTTACATGTGCAGCATTAATGTTGTAAAAGATGGAGTTTGCTCATTGTTTTATTGCTGTAGTTAGTAAGTGCTCACACCTATATACGTTTATGTCTGTGTGTTTAACATCATCACTGTTCAAGCGCTCACAGTAGAGACACAGAATCCCCCTCCACCACATTATTGGATTTGGACACTTCAAAGATTCTGTTACAGACTGTTTCAGAAGAAGTCTGATCACTTGAGCTCTCAGTGAAAACATTTCCACATATGATCTGTTCTGCACATCTTAGTCTTTGGAAGGCAGGACTGTACTGATATTACTCAAACATTCTGCGCAGGGCTTGTTCTGATAATAAATTTCAGCAAGTGTTTTGTAAATAATTTAAGCCTCGAAGAGCATAGAATGTTCAGCATTAAAAATGTAACCAATTGAGTCATCATGACTTTTGCATATATATGCATACAGTACTGAATAGTGATTGGTATTGTCTTCCTTGCATACTATTTATAGCTCATGTGCAGCTGACTGAGGATGTGAAACGATGTGGCATTTCACTTACACAGAGCCAAGACTACAATGCAAGCTTACTGAAAATATCAGTACTATACTTTTGCTGCCTTGCAAGCAGTGATATTTCCAATCATTGCATCAGTTGTTATATATAGTGCAAATTATGAATAATACTTCATTTTTTCCATCGTGTAATTCTTCAAACTGCATTTTTAGACAACAAACTAGTCGTTGCTGGACGATTGTGATGTTGTATGTCCTCCTTTCAACTCCATGTTTCACTGGGTGTAGAAATAGATTTACTGTGAAACACCCATCAAACCCTGTAATTATGCACAGGAGCCACAAACGGATCTATTATTATCTCAGGATTTGTCCCACCCTATGACAGTGGTCAAAAACAAACCTAGAATAGAAAACAAAAATGCCAACGAACACCAGAGATTCATATTAAAACACTGCTACAATTTAAAAAAAAAAAAAAAAATCTTTAAAAAATCTTACTGACCCCAAAACTTTATAAACGGTTGTGTATAATCATTTGCAAGACCGTAGTTCATGCATATTCAAAAATCAAATCAATGAATCAAAGTTGAAGTAATTTTTAACTATTTGAATGTGCATTAACTAATGATTAATAAACCATTGTTATATGTGTTAATGTTGTTATAAAGTGTTACCAATTATTTTTTAAGGCAGACTTTAGCAAAACCTGTGCGATATATTTTGCCAAACTTTTTTCAACAATTTTAAGTTACATGTGCAGCATTAATGTTGTAAAAGATGGAGTTTGCTCATTGTTTTATTGCTGTAGTTAGTAAGTGCTCACACCTAGATGGCAGCATTACTGAGTTATTACTGAGTATTATAGATCTCGTTTTCTTTAGCATGTCAATGGCACTTTTAGTTTCAGGAAGCCACTGACATAAGCTCCGTCTGTACCAGTAAATATAAGTATATTAATATGACTGGATATGTAACAGATGAAACTAGTACGATATAAAGATATCGTTTTATTGCATAAAATAGTGCATTTGTAATTTCAGTAGTTTGTTGTTTTGTCTAGCATCTGCAAGGCAAAGTTTAAACAGTTTACAAGAGCAAAGCTTTACCACTCTCGCCATATTTACAGTATATTTACATGTCATCTTTAATATCTATAACTTCTTCTCTCAGTGTCCTTGATGTGGAAATCCAGTGTCATCAGAGCACAAACCCTGGACCGAAATACCTTAATGCAACAGCTCTGCAACACAAAGGCTTCTTTACACAGTCAAGACTCTGGCCAACATAGGTTGTGGCCAGCGGGTAACAATCTTTGCACCAACCAGAGGCAGGCGAGGATGAGATAAACAGCATTATGCAGGGCTGTGGTTATGCTTGGGTTGCAGGTGGGCTGAGAGGGGCCGGCTGGCTCTCTGTGTCCTCTTTACTGTTGTCTGAACAGTCAGATCCGATGTAACAGCCCGAGTCTCTGGGACAGTCGTTCAGTTCGGCTTTGACTTGTTCAGAGGGAGATTTGGGCTCATCTGTCTCTCCGTGGCTCTGATTATTATCTGTATCAGAAAGAAAAAAGAAGACAGACGCAGACGTCATGATAATGTCATCAGATGATTGTGCATGAATATTAATGCAGTAATTGGAAAAATGTTTTCATTACACGCAACAGGCGCTATGCTTTTCTGTGTATTGCAGCATTTGATGCCTTTTGTGAGGTGTGGCTGTACTTCTGAAATTATAATACAGATACCCACAAAAACTCACTGCTCAACACACTTCCTGTTGGGTCTTTCATCACATGCAGGCAACTGGCCTCAATGACATTCACTTTTTTCCATTAGCAGTGTTTTTTGTTTTTTTTTACAATAAGCTACACAAAATCTAAAATGATTTTATATAATAATTCATTTAAATATATTACAATGTTGAATTTTATTTAAGTGTGTGTGTATAAACATCTAATTTAAAAATATTTATTTTAGTTTTTGATGTATTTTATCTCATCTTTGTTTTATTCAATTTATCATTATGACAATTGTAAAATTGCACAAACCATTTTTATTCATACACAGAAATTAGTCTTTTTACAAATAATTTTTTTCAACCCTTGTTTTGTGATCAATTTATGTCATGCTGACTTTTTGTACAGACCCACTTTATTCAAATATTTAATATTTTTATTTTATTAAACATTTGTAAATGTTACATTATTTTAAATTGATCAAATATATTGCTTATGTATTTTTAATTTTATTTAAAAAAAATGTAATAAATACATTTAAATGTATTTTATCTCATGTTTGTTTTGTTTTCATGTCACTATAATCACTATAGTCACTATAGCAGAGACTTGAGTGGAAAGGAACTAGATTTTTATCTGAGGGAAAATGTGTGAAAAGTAGTGTTTTCAACCTGTCGTTTCACGAGTGTGGCTTTGATGAGGTTTGTTTTTTATCTTCTAAAACACTGTACGATCACAGCGCTGAGGTGCTCATCCTACATCAGCGCTTTAACTGTGAGACCTTTGATATTAAATATAAAATGCAAAAAACAGTCTTGGAAACAAAGACAGCATCATCTATGTGCCATTTCCGGCCTATGTTTTTTATATATTTTGATGCCTTCTGATGTTCAACCACTTACATTCGGAGTCCTGCAAGTTTTCTGCCGCCAATAGCAGCCGGTGTCGGTGTTCAGGGTCAGTCACATTGAGCTCCACAAGGTGCTGCTCCTTCAAATCCCGTAGATCTTCCACCGTCTGATACCCGTTCAACAGCAGAGATGAAATGTGCTCCTGCAGAAACAATTTTGTCTGTTAAAGTAGCACCAACTAAATCAGATAATACCTGACATCCTGTTTTTGAGATTTTGAATGTGAATCTGTGGGTATAACGAGCTTGATCATCAGCTATGGTATTTAACGGGACATTTGAAGCACCTCCAGATTGAGTCTTTCCAGAAGTTCCTGAAGAGTTTTAGGTCGAGGTCTTCTGCTCCTCCGGTGAGAGCGAATCCTCGGTTCCAGCACGATTTCCTCCACCAGAATGTTGACGTAGATGAACTTAAAGTTTCCCACTTTACCATTCAACATCCCAGTCCAGATTCCCATTGCAGGTTTGCTGATGATATCAATCACATCTCCCACCTTACAAACGAAAAAGAATGCATGTTAATAGCTCGGAAAACCATCTCTTTACACATCAAAAACATCTCAGGTTGGTTTTTACCTTGAGTTTGAGAGACTCTGTGTCATAGGGACTGGGAACAAAGTCAGTGTGGACCTTGGCTCTCCCGCAGAACTGGCCCGTATAGGGCACATCTTCTTCTAAACGCAGGCTGTCCCTGTTACTACAACCCTCAGAGCCGCTGGTCACACCACCTAAAACATCAGGAAATGCAACCAGTGAAACACAAAACACATGGCTGAAATGTCAAAAGCACATCTACGCCAAAATGTCAGTTGAGTAAGCAGTACATTTTCGCTCTTGTGGTAGCTCTGTTTTACATTTTAAACTGCAGGTTAGACCTGTGATCCAATAATAAATGGTCTACTATAGTTGTAGAGGATATTTAGTTCAGCTTACTAGATGAACTCTGGCCGCTGTGCAAGCTGAACAGACTCTCTACGGAGTTACTGGAGTGGTTGCAGCCTTTGGCCAACGTGCCGTCCACGACTTCAGCTGCCGCAGCTTCGTTCTCCTCGCCCTGTGAAAAACATCAGCTGCGTTCATGAGCAGAGAAAGTCTCAGGCAAGAGTCCCAACCAAAAGCTGATACGTGACCGGTCTTCAGGTAGCAAATCAGTTTGTGCCAGGCCGCGGGATCAGTTTGCAATCAGTAGCAAATCAGTTTGTGCCAGGCCGTTTGTGCCAGGCCGAAAGCACAACTACAGAGACGTTGT